CATGAGTCTGCCCGTCCACCAAGCCTGATTGGTTCAGGTGGTAGACACGTGACCCATGCTGGGCCGATCAGATTTATTTTCCTGGGAATTTAGAATTCTGACCTGGGATTTACAGGGGGGATTGGGTAGTAGTAGGAGCTAAGTCTGTCGCTCAAAGGAGGTCTGAGAATTTCTCCTTGCTGACACCCCCCCCAAACAGAGGGCTTCTGCATTTACTTGATTCCTTGGACTCTCCAAATGCTCTCTATTCTAATCAATTCTCCCCCTTCCTCTTCTTTTCCTCCAAAGCTCAGTTCGAATCGTTTTCAACACTTGCAAACCAAACAAACTTGAACGACCTGGTCTGGAGCCCAGAACTCTGCTCAAGATCCATGTGATACCATGTCAGGTCTTAATGTCATTTCTTCTTGCAAAAAGGTATTTATTGCAAAACATCCAGAACCAAGAAGATGGAGACAATTACCTTCTAAGTAAATTAGATCTAAACAGAGCAAAATATGACTAAGGATTTATTTTTAAATATAAAAGAAAATTGTACAAAACGATTCCTGAGACAGTTTCATTAAAGATGCCCTTAAACTAATATTTTATTAGGTAAGTTGTTGAGCCTATTGGCGGCTCAATTTTTTCATCGTTGCCAAATGGGGATAAGACATGACTTTATAGGATGAATGTCCAGATTGATGCAAAGTTACTGAGAAGCTATAGAAACGTAAAGAGGGTTGGACAGGAGAACAGTAACACACTGGGAGAAAGAGCAAGGGCTTCACTTCACGATCAGCCAGGCTTAACGTTGGAATCCCAGCTCTGTCACTCACTAGCTGTGTGACTTTGGGCCAGTTGCTTGACCTCTCTGAGCTTCCGTTTCACCATTCGTTCATATCATGGAGATAATAGTAGTCTCTATGCCATAGTGTCGTTGTGAACATTAAATGAGATAATACATGTAAACCACTTGCCGCAGAGCCAGGCACATAGTAAACTGGATACACAGTAGCTATCTATGGTGGGCAATTTTATGATAAGCCACCCAGACAGAGGTCAATGCTATTTCCAATGCATCTCTTTATCTCCATTTTTCACAGTGTAAACAATCCTGCAGCCTCCACGTCCCCCAGGTCTGTGGGCTACCTGGTCCATCTTTCTCTTCTCTTTGTCTCTTCAACAGTTGACTTTCAAGACTCAAGGCCTTTGCTGGAAGGACCTTGTCACCCCCCAACATGCTGGAAGAGGAGGCTCTTCTGAGAATTGAGGGGTTTTTTTGCCCCCTCTGCATCCTTAACCCCCTCAGATGCTTCTTTCCCAGCCTTGGGCGATTTCCTTACACTCATCATCAGGATTCATGATTACTCAAGAGGGGCCTCCACAATCTTTATAGACACACAAGGCACCAGGTGGGGAAGTCCTGCTCTGTGCTTTATCCTCACTCCTCCCATGACACTGGGAAGCTGTGCTCTCTGGTACGATACCCAGTAGCCACCATATAGCTATTTAAATTTAAATTTAAATTTAAATTTAAATTTAATTAATCAAGTAAAACCTGAAAATCTGAGGCTCAGAGTCATGCAACTATGTGGTCAAGCCAGGATTGGTTCTCAGACCACTGGGTGATCCATTGTCAGTAGTAAAGAGGATATTCTAGCAAGAAGCAGTAAGAAATCATGAAGCAAACTGCCTAGTGAGTGAATGAGCTCCCTGTCAAAGTGTTCCAACGGGTTATTATAAAGGGGATTCCAGAAACTGGGAGAGAGTTCTGGAAAAGCTGGTGCATTTCCAGCTCAGCACTGGGCTGGGCTTCAAAGACAGAAAGACAGAACATAGAGGAGTCCCCAGCCAAGCAAAAGAGAGAGATGAGTAATGAAAAAAAATAGCATGGCAACCCACAGGATCTGTGGGCTCGGGGACACCCTACCCACTGAGCTGAGAATATCCACCGCCTATCCTCATTCTCTCAGTCAACAAAACTTTCCAGACCTGCCCAATGCAGGAACCTCTGGTCACATGTAGCTACTGAGACCTCGAAATGTGGCAAGTCTAAATTGAGATGTAAGTGTGAAATACCCACCGGATTTCTAAGATGTTCAAAAAATCAGAAAGAACGTAAAATATCTCATTAAAATTTTTTTATATTGATTACACACTGACATGATCATTTTTGACCATATTGGGTTAAATAAAGTACTTTATTTTTTTAAAGATTTTATTTTATTAATTATTTTTATTATTATTATTTTTTTTTTAGAGAGAGAGAGAGCGCGCACGAGGGAACAGGCAGAAGGAGAGAATCTCAAGCAGACTGAATAAGGAGCCCGACTCGGGGCTCAATCTCATGACCCTGAGATCATGACCTGAGCCCAAATCACGAGTCAGATGCTTAACCGACTGCGCCACCCACCCAGGCGCCCCTAAGTAAAGTACTTTATAATCAATTTCACCTGTTGCTTTTTACCTTTTTAATGTGGCCCCTGGAAAATTTATGGCTAGGTCTGTGGCTCACAGTGAATCTCTACTGGCTGGTGCCGCTCTGCAGACCTACTGCGTACCCGTCCCTGCAGCCTGCGGGAAGGCACAGAGCAGGCCCGGAAGGCCCATGACACCAGCTGAGAGAGCCCAGACAGGGGACGAGACAGAGAAGCTGGAGCTCAGTCTTGTGGCTTAACTGGGTAAGTGAACAGGCAATTTTGGCACTGGGAGGTAAGTGCTGGCGGGCAGGGGGAGAAGCCCGGGGCGTGGGAGCTCAGAGAAAGCACCTGCCTAGGTGGGAGATAGTCCCAGGAAAAGCTTCCAGGAGAAGGTGATGTCCAAAATTAGGCCTGAAGGAGGCATAGAAATCAACTCGTTTTTCCAGAACCCTCTCCCAGTTTCTGGAGTCCCCTTTACAACATCCAGCTGGAACACTTTGACTGACAGGGAGCTCACTCACTCACTCGCAAGACAGTCCACTCCGTGATTTCTCACTGCTTCGTACTAGAATATTCTCTTTATGAATGACACACACCGCCAGGGGCCGGGGTGCAGTCCCCTGAGCTCGGAGCCCTTCCCTTGCCATCCTGAGGGTCCGGTCTGTACCCTGGGCACCTGCCTCACGTCTGGCTCATGACGGCCGCATGTCTGACAACCCAGCCAGCTGCCTGCTCCCTTCTCAGCTTGACAAGACAGGCAGGCTGAGTCACGGGCTCAGCTCCTCTCAACCCACGTGGTCTCTGGGTCTGGGCCAGGGGGATGAGCTGCCTGCCACGGTGCCCATAAGTCAGACCAAAAGGAGCCCATGAGTCTCACTGAGGATTAGACGTAGGAATGTTCTGGAATCCCACACTGTACCTTGGGGCTCCCCAAGGGGCAGATCCAGCAGACAGGCATGTTATTCTACCAGTAAGGAAACCAAGGCACAAGGGGTGGGGGTGGGGGGTCCTGTCCTGCCTGAGAATGCTATTATAATAGTTATTATTGCTCCATATTGTCATGGTTAATTTTTAGAACATGCCAGCTTCCTCTGTACAGGGACCTATCCACACTGCTCACTGCTACATTGCCCAGTGCTCATAACAGTATCTGGCACATAGTAGGTGCGTGAGTTCTTCTATTGAATAAGTGCATGAACAATAGCCACCTCTGTTTCTCAAGGATGTACTACAAGGAACCACACATTTATTTGTGTGTTCTTTTATTTATTGTCTGTCTCCACCAGCAGGACACAGACTGACTCTATTTTGCCCACCATTATGTCCCCAGAACAGTGACCCACACATAGTAGGTGCTCAATAAACAGTGTTGCATAAAGAGGTGGGTGCTGAGCAGTTTCTCATTTGTCCTCACACAGTCCAGTGGGGAGTGGGGAGGGCTCTTTTGCACCTTTTGGAGATGAGAAATTGAGACCCGGAGAAGTGAAGTGACCTCTGAAGGTCATGTGGTTGATGAGGCACAGAGCCAGGATTTGGACCCAGGTCTGTTCTTACAGACACTGTGTGTGCTCTTACCTGCTGGGTCTTGCTGTCTCTGGAGGTAAGGGGAGACATCAGGGGTGGGGGTGGGGGTCTCTGGGAAAGGCTGCTAGGGCGGAAGAGGGACCACCTCAGCACTCCCCAGCCTTGCCCAGCGAGTCCCAGTCACAAAGCCCTTTCCACGTGGCGTCCTATTTGGTGCTCACCACAGCCGAAGCAAAGCCCAGAGAGGTCGAGTAACTTGCTCAAAGTCACACAGCAGGTTCAACACGGGTCTTTTGACTCCACATCCAGTGTTCTTTCCCCTAAACCCCAGCTCTGGCTCACTCGGAGCCCTAGTATAAGCAGGGTTGCATGTGGGTCAGGAGAGAAGGCTTATGTTTCAGTGCTGGGCTTGGCTTTACCACACATCTGGTGGCAAATCCAAATTCCACACTTTGCTGTGTGCCCTTGAGAACTGGCTTCCCCAGTTACCTCATCTGAAAGATGGTGGCCTACTTTGCAAGTGGTAGTTAAAATCCTTGTCTATGCGCTGTGTGACCGAAGGAAGAAGCTTAGCTTCTCTGAGCCTCGGTTTCTTCATCAGCAAAGTGGAGTTAATAAAGACCCATCTCTCAGAGCCCAGTGCGGGCACCGTGCAGGGCCTGGCATGTAGTAAGTGTTCAATAAAAGGTGGTTTGGGGGATCCTCTGCGACCACAGTGGGTGGCCCTCCAGAGGATCCAGCTGGCCGGGCCTGGCCACGGCAGACCCAAGGCACGCACTCCTGGCTGCCCCCAGCCAGCCAGGGAGAAACCTGAGCCACCCTCCTCCTAGGCAGATGCTGTCCCTGTCCCTGCTGTCTCTGAAATGAAAGAAAGGTCAGAGCCTAGGGAAGCAGGGCTGGGGTGTGCTATGGAGGCGGCGGGCAGGAGAGGAGGGGAGGGGTGGCCCGCAGCTGCCTGACCGCCCTCGCCTCTCCAGGGGAGGCCTGAACCGGCCAGGCCTGGGTGCAGCCCCCCTGCCCGGGGCTTGGCCTCCCTGCCGGGCAGAGCCGCCTCCCAGCCTGCCCCCGGGGAGGGGCCACCTGGTGTCAATTAAACCCCAGCCACTCGGCCGCACCACGCCAGGCGGCTGATTAGTGCCGCTGGCCTCTCCAGATGGGGAGCACCGCCTGAGAGGGGGCGACTGCCACCACGCCGGGGGGAGGCCTCTCCGGAGCCGGTGAGTACCGGGCGGGGGGCCCTGTCCCCCAGGGGCAGGCGGGCGTGGCGAACCCAGCTTGGGCATCTCGGGAAGCACCCCCTCCCTGTGTGGTTTGCTCTCCTGGGGCATTCTGGGGCCTCTCAGCATCCCTGACCTTCTTCGCTTCCGCCCTACCTGAAGGGTACCCAAGGGGGGCCCAATGCCAGCCCAGTGTCTCCCCCGGGGCCGTGTGGCTGCAGGGGCCAACCCCAGACCAAGGCCACAGGGAACCTGGTGGGTGAATGAAGGACCAGTCGGCACAGACTGAGGCCTTAGGGTCCCAGCTGCCTCCTCTTCACCGCAGGTGGAGCTGGTCCTTTGTGCCGGTCCGTCTGGGCGTCGAAGGCCGCGTTCCTCAGCTCGCCGGCTCATGCTGTGGGGTGGCCCCGTCTGCCTGGCTGGCCGAGACCCCTGCAGGAAGCAGGCAGGGGGAGGCTGAGGAACCGCAAGTCCGAGCTCGGGAGGAGCCCTCTGGCTTCCCAGCGCCACGTGTCCTGGAGCCTGGTGGGGGGCCAAGTAGGGCCCTGGCCCAGAATCCACATACTTCTGGGGACGCCAGTCCAGCCTGCAGGCCAGGCAACACTATAGGGCCTGAGCCACCTCCTGGTTCCTGGGGCGGAGAGGGGGGCGGTTAAGGGGGGAGCGGAGAATCAACCCCGGCAGCGGCAAAGGAGGGAGCAGCTGCTTGCCCATGGCACAGACCGAGGGGTTAGAGAGGGACAGGAGCTCCGGTACCTCCAAGAAATGAGGGGACACGTGATGTGTCTCTGGTTCTGCGCTGTGAACTCTGAGCCTCAGCTCCTGGTTGATAGGGGTTCTCTGATCCATGGCGGGGGGTCCCTCATGACAGGTGGTGTTATCTCTCGGTGGTACCCCAGGGTGGTCCGTGGCCACTGTCTGCTTGGGACAGAGGCGAGGCGTGTTTGGCTGGGATGGCAGGCCGGGGGAGGGGGGCGATGCTGGGTGCGTGTCCACCTGGTTGGACCACCTGGGGTATCTCTGGAAGATGAACGGGATCACTCGCGTGGATCTCTGGAGCCTGTTCTGGACCATGGCTCCAACGTGTAGACTGGGGAGGGAGGATGGGTCCCAGTAGAGCTCTGTGCCCAGCGGGGCATGGCCACGTGTCCCCATCTGTATGTGCATGTGCGGTTATGGTGATGCCAACGTCGTGCGGGCGAGGGCTCATTGGAAGCGTTCCTGGGTCACCAAGCTCTGCTCTTTCCAGCACAGTCCATCTGGGGGGTGAGTGTTTCCCAAGGGCATAACCTGTGAACAAACTGGCAAGTCAGCTAGACGGTCTCCTGGTTGTGCACCCTGGGGAGCTTCACTTGCTCTGTTTTCCAGGCCCCATTCCACCCGGCTGAGGCCAAGCTGGGCTGGTGGCTGGACTCAAGCTCTCCATCCCTGGAACCCATCTCCGTGACTCTGGGGTGAGTGGGGAGGTGGGGGGCAACCGCAGCTGAAGCCCGGTTATTATCCAGGGAAATACTGGATCTGGTTCATTTCCTCCATAAATATTCATCACCAGCCTCTGTGCTGGGACTTGGGCTCAGAACTGAGACTAGGGCAGCGACACTAGAATTCATTCATTCTCTCCAAAACATTTATGGAGAGACACCTATCCTAGATGCTGAGCTTCTGTGGTAGAGCTCGAATTCACTCATTCCTTTATGCGTGCATTCGCTCCGAGATACTGAGCGTGTGCTGTGCACGGGCTCTTTGCAACCTGCTGCAGGCACACCAGCACATCTGGGAAGCGAGAAACCGTATTCTCTTCGGACTTTCCCCACTACAGAAACACAACAAGCCTGGGTCTGGGAGAAAGCCAGATGCTTAAGAAGCAGAGCAACATTGGGGTCCTTCTCTGGTCCCCTTGCAGCAGGGGATGAGGGCTCTATTTAGCCCTGCAGCTTGGAATGTCCCCAGCGTCCACCTGGGATTAGTGGCTTTCGCTAGTGCCTGGTGATCATGGCCGTGATACACGGTGTTGGGTCTCCGAGACACACCAGGACGAGATGAGCTTCACACACTTATCTGTGGTTGAGCTCCCTTTGCCAAAGAAAAGTATGATAATTTTGACAGTTAATTTCCAAGTATGCCCAAAGCACTGCTTGGGTGATGAAAAAATACTAGAAGGTAGACTTTAATATTTTCCAGGAGCCAGGCACTTAATGCTTAGCACATCACATGATCCATCTTATTTTTTTTTTTTTAAGATTTTATTTATTTATTTGACAGAGAGAGACACAGCGAGAGAGGGAACACAAGCAGGGGGCGTGGGGGAGGGAGAAGCAGGCTTCCCGCCAAGCAGGGAGCCCGATGCGGGGCTCGATCCCAGGACCCTGGGACCATGACCTGAACTGAAGGCAGATGCTTAACGACTGAGCCACCCAGGCACCCCCATGATCCATCTTATTGAATTCTTGCCCAACCCTCAGGTGGTAGCTCTATTACTTTCCCATTTTATAGTACGGAAACTGAGGCCAGGAGGGACTAAATTACCGGCCCAAGGCCTTTCTGACTCCAAAGCCTGTGCTTTCAACCTCTAGACTAGAGTCCCGATTAGATGGGGACAAAAGAGGATGTCTACACAGAATTTGGACGGGGCCGCATGAGGGAGGGTGTGCCCCAGATCAAGAGGGGTGGCGGCGGGGGGCAGATAGAAAATGCAAGACAGCAGACAGGCTTTTTAGTCTTTGCAGCCACGGAGTAATTTCATCCAAACAAAACCTCATGGAAATAGGTCAAACAGAGCTGTTCCGTGTGAAACACCGATCCCTAGGCTCCCTCTGATCCCTTGCCCTTGGGGGACCCCTGAGAGCCCCTGAGGTACATACGCAGTTGGCAAACTCCTTGGTATGAAGTCAAAGCCAGCCAGGGTGAACATGGCAGGTGAGGTTACCTGGCAGGTGATGGCAGAGGCGACCTTGAAGAGTTGGAGGGGATATGAACAGGAATTAGGAAAAGCAGACAGTCCCTCAGTTCAATGTTCATTCATTCAGCAAATGCTCACTAAACTCCTACTCTGTACCAGGCATTGGTCTAGGCACCAGGGATGGAGTGGGGACCACAGAAAACCACGCTCCTCCCTTTGGCCAAGAGCTGATTCTCTGCACGGCCTGACGGAGGAGGCCCATGTGATTGGCGCAGAGGCTTTGCACGGAGGGGAGGAGAAATGGCTTGTTCATTTGATGAATGCCCATGACCCCCAAATGCCTTAGCGCTGGGGTCTCAATGATTATCAGGCTGTCCTTGCCTGTCTCGGCTCTGAAGCAGAGCCTGGGACCTAGTTTCTGGAAGGAGAGTTTTCTAGAAAGAGTGAGTAAAGAAAACAGGAGAGGGCAGAAGGGGCTTAGCAAGCCTGGGGGTCTCAGTGGAGATGCCTCAGCCAGATCCTGTGAGCTCTGGAGTGTGAATTGTACGGCGGAGTTGATCCTACCCTGAGGCGAGGGGGTGGGCCTTTGGTGTATATCCCCTTGCCCACCAGTCACTGGTTCAGGCTGTCCCCAGTTGGGGTGAGGGGTGTCGTAATCTCCCCAGCAGGAGAGCTTTCCTATATAAGGCAATGCCCCAGAAAAAAGGTCAGCAGCTGGGGAATGGGTGCACTGGCCTGGCAAAGGGGACCTGGACAAGGCACCAGAATCATCTATCTCACTGCCCTTGGGTCGTTCCTGGCCCAGCTTGGGAGATGGGCGGTGAGTGGACAGCCGAGGAGGCTATGGAGGGTGCACTGCCCCAGTGGAGAAGCACGGAAGCTGAGGGAACCCAGGAGGGGGTGCCAGACCCAGTGTGGGCAGTCAGGGAAATGCAGCGTTGAAGACTTTGGGGCCTGGGTTCAAATCCTAGGACAGCCACCTGCCTGCTCGTGACCTTGGGCCAATTACTTCACTGCTGGAACCTGTGTTTGCTCAGTTCTAGGATGTAGATGCTGCTTGGCAGGATCTGTGTGAGAATCACACGGCCCCGTTCTGGCACGTGGTAGCCTACTGGGACCACGCGGGCGGCAGTGCTGGTGAGCATGGGAGCGTGTGTGCGGAGGTCAGGTGGGATTGCAGAGCATCTGTGTTCCCGAGGAACCCGGTCCTTTCCAGCAAATTCTGGAGGCATCTGGGAGGCCCTGGGAGATGAGCCAGAAATGGCTACCAGGGGCAGGTCCCAAATATTACCGGCACTTTGGGTCACTCAGGAGGAGGCAAAGGTGGGATGTGCGTGGACGGAGCAGAGTTGGCTCAGGGCTTGACTGAGCGTGGAGAGGGCAGGGCACTGGGGCTGATTCAGGGGCAGGCCCCCTTCCTCTCCCCGTGCCTACTCCAAAACCCAGAGCCCTGGGCTGAGCAGACCGTGTCCTTCCCTAAGTCTCACTCACTCATTCATTCATTCACTCATTCATTCATTCAATACTTCTTAACACCCACTATGTGAGGCTCTGAGGATGCATTCGTGAATAAGGCAGAAAGGATGCCTACTCGGAAGCTCGAAGTTCACAGTGGGGGCCACCAAATGCCAAGGACAGGGAACAAAAAGAGGGACATGGTCAAGGAGCTGAAAGCATTGAGCAGCTTCTGGGCATCCTGGGGCCCAGAGTCCGGTGGCGGGACTCTGAGGACGCGGGCTCAGCACAGGGAGTGGACAGAGCAGATGCTCTGCTTCCAACCCAAGTTCAGCTGGGAAGGGGCGGAGGGGACATGGCATTCCAGCAGGGACTGTCTGGTTTGAAGAACATGATGTGTGCATGTGTGATGGTGTGTGTGCAGGGCTGTGTATGGAGGATTGAGGTGGGGGGTGGGGTGGCTGTGTGGGTGTGAGGGTGCACATAAAGGGGTATTGGGGGACGTGTACAAGGGTGTAGGGGTGTTATATACGAGAGGGTTGTGAGGGTCTGTGTGTGTGAGGGGTTGTGGGGAGCTGTGTGCAAAAATGTGTGCGAGCGTGTGAGCGTGTGTGTGAGGAGTGGGGGACATACGTGTGAGGCTGTG